TTATTATTATTATTATTATTATTATTATTATTATTATTATTATTATTATTATTATTATTATTATGAATGCTAAGCTATGTAATAATTTAGATTTACTTTGAATCAATTGTAAATGTGCCACTACTTTATTGTTCCCACTATTTTTATAATTTTCATTTCTTTCTATATTTGTTTTAAAAAAAAAAAATTTGTTTTAGTAGAGTTTAAAATGGCATTGAAAAGATAAGATGAACATATCATTGCTGTTACTGTTATCAGAAATTATTCCAAAATACAATCTTTAAGTAAGCCATTCATTTTATCATTCGCTTCAAAAAAAAAAAAAAAAATTTATATATTCTATTCTTCTGTTATTAGTATGAATAATATTAAGAAAAAAAAAAAAAAAAAATTAACAAGCAAAAAGCAATTATAAAACGATTAATAAAAAAAAAAAAAAACAATTTTGTGATTAGAAATAATAAGCACAAATAAGATGAAATGATGATTCATCGTATCATTATAACTTGTTGATAATAACAAGTTATAATGATATTACTGCTTTTTGATAAGCAGAAACCTGTTTTTAATATTGCACTGATTTATTAAATTATAGAGACATGTTCATTTAACAATGATAAGCTTTGGCATAAAATGTTAACAGCTAAAATTATCAATCTTTTATAATTTCATTTATTTGAATTATCATTTCATTTATTATAATTTCATTATTTTAATTATCGTTATCGTAGTAGTAAACAATTTTCAATATTTTTTTTTTTTTTTTTTTTATTATTTGTACTTTTTTAGATTAATTTGGAAATTTGTTAATTCAAAAAAATCTTTTTGTAAATTAAAAATTTTTTAAGCATTGCTAAAGTTAATGCAAAATTTAATTTAGTAATATTATCAAGCTGATACCATTATGCTTTTTTTTTTTTCCTTTTTCATTAAATTAATTATAATTAACAATAATTTTGAATTATTTTGATTATTTACTCTATTGCGAGAAATATATATGCATACAAGCAATTAATCAATTCCGATAATCACCAATTTAATTTATCAGTTATCGTTATCAATTTCCATTATCTTTGGTTATTTACTTCATCGCAAGAAATATCTAAGATATCACTACTAAGCAACCAATTTCTGATAAACAACATTTAATTTATTGTTTGTCAGTATACCAGTTCCAATTTGTTTCGATTCTTATTTACTTCATTGTGACAAATATATAAGATATTAGCATTAAGCTAAATCACTTCTGATAATAAAATTGAATTTTACCACAACTTGATTTTTCATGAAAAATTAAAGTTTTCCTTCTTTTATCACTGTTATTTTCAAACTTTCTCTCCATTATTGCAAATATTAAATTTAATAATAATATATTCGATAATGCAATTTATTATTAATAAATCTTTTAAAATTATTAAAAAATTTTTTGCAAATATGTAAACTTTCTTATACAATAACAATAATGTCAACTGATGATGCAGATTTCATTTTGTGAATTAGCAAATTAAAAATTTAATTACTTCAAAAATTTAATTAAACTTTCTACATTTTATTTGCTTATAATTTTATATTTAATTCGTCAAAATTTTGATTGAATTCATAAATTTTTACATATTATCTTCTTTTTGAAAAAAGAGCTCGTTTCCAATTTTAGCATTAATGAGTTTTAAATAATTTAGAAAATAAAAAAAAAAAAAAAATATTGCTGAATTATGTTTTTTTTTTTTTTCCTTGCAAATAAAAAGAAAAATATTTTTTTTTCATAAGGTTAAAAATCAAAATTGTCTTCATTTTGATTTATTTCATATCAAGTTTTTCTTTTTTTCTTATACAAAATCAATTTTTTTTAGAAATGAATGAAGGCAAATGTTGAAGACATCATGCTAATATGCATTGTCATTTTGTTTACTGATAGGTCAAAGGTTATTTCAGAAGATAAGCAATTAAATTTCTTTCATTCAATCGCCACAAACATACTTTTCAGTATGTAACTAAAATGTTGAAAATTTCTTCCATCTGCTCCTGTTATCTTTTATCAATCGTAAATATTTATGAAAAAATGAGGAGAAAAAAAAAAAGAGACAGTTGAATTGATTGATTCAAAGTTAAATTCTTTGCCAAAAGTTAAGTTTAAATTAGAAATAAACTTAATGGCTCTGATAAATAATCATTTCTGTTATAACAAAACTCTGACAGTCGAATAGTTGAAAGGGTAAAGAATGATTAACTAGTCACACTACCTTATTACTCATTTGAATTAGCTAAAAATTATTCGGCTTCTCTCTTTCATCTAGCTTTCTGATAAATTGATATAACTTATGCTTACACTGATATGATTTGATTATGATAAAATTCAGTTATTTTTAGTTAATTATAGTGATTATTGATGCGACGGATATTAGTCTTAAAATATTGATAAGCTGAAACTTCTTCCAGCTAATAATTAATATTTGATTTGTTGTACATCGAACTTTGAACTTTTCATTCATGGAAATGCTTCACGGATGACATATGAATTACTAATTAAACAACAATACAATAAAATTATAACAAAATAAAAAGATTCAAACAACGGAGCTATTTAATTTCGGTTGTTTAATTAATAAATTAACTTTGTTGTCACTGATATTGTTATTGTTTATTATTATTATCATTATTATTGTTTATTATTATTATTATCATTGTTTATTATTATTATTATTATTATTATTATTATTATTATTATCATTGTTTATTATTATTATTATCATTTATTATTATTATTATTATCATTGTTTATTATTACTGTTATTATTGTTTATTACTATTATTATTATTATTATTTATTATTATTATTATTATTATTATTATTATTATTGTTGCTATTATTATTATTACTATTATTATTAATTGTTGCCATTATTATTTAGTATTTATTAATGATTTATAGTGAATGAAGGATTTCATGGTTGATGAAATGAAATTTAATTTGATGTCGGAATTAGAATCAATCAATTGTTGATTTTTAAGAGTTAAAAGGTGTCTAGATGTGATTATGAATGAAAAATTAGATACAAAATTTTTTTGTATCTAATATTTATTACAAAAAAAAAAAAAAAGTGGTTCATAAATTTTTTGCATTTATTTATTTATTTATTTATTCTTTTCAATAATGCAAAACAAAAAAGATGCATGAAAGATACATTTTTTGATCATTTATTTATAAATATGATGCAATTAGCGCCTACAATACCGTATGATCTTTAATGTTCAAAAGTTTTTTTAATGTTTGAACAGACCCACTAGAATGGAATTTATTTGATAATTGCAGCAAAACCATCGAATAGTTTTAAATCTAAAATGTTTCGTTCAATTTGCTTTTTTTTTTTTCTCGCCAGACTTGGCCATGATTTTATCATATCATTCTTGAATTTCATTTAATCAATTATCAAATTTATATAAAATTTTTATTGTCAATTTTGTTTTTGTTATGAGTTAATATTAAAGCAAAAAAAAAGACAATGATTGAATTCATAGTTTATAATAATGAAATTAATATAATTTTAATAAATATATTTCATTTTTAATTTAAATGATTGCAATTTAGGTTACATTTTAAAATTTATTTCAAAATTAAATTTATCAATCACACATATATTTTTTTATTCATTGAGAGAAGTGTTCAATGCAAATAACAATAGGAAATAACATTGTAATTAATAACTAAATTTTGTAATATTTTTTTTTGCTAATGAAAATTTACTGCGAAATGAAAATGCTAAATTTAAATGAAATTCTTTTTTTTTTTTTTTTTTTCGATGATACTTAGATGCAACAATAAGTGTATGCAAAAGATCTGTGAAATAACATTTCAATCAACAAAAAACATCAAAAATGTTTTAAAAATATAAGATGTGAAAATTTGAATCATAATCACAATATCTGAATGTGATAGTCTAAATTACAACAATATCATCGATATTATGATTCAAATTATCACATTTAAAGAAACATTAATCATTGTATTATTGATGAAATATTGATCGTACTATCATTCTTTTTAATTCTCGAATATTTCATTCTGATTATATCTTTTTTTTTTTTTTTTTTTAAAAAAAAATCAATCAATTAATTTTTATGAAACTAAAAAATGCATTGAATTATGTCAATTTTGCAAATTTGTAAATTTAATTTTAGGAAATCAAATAATCATAAATTTGTTGTTTAATTTATAATCCTATAGCTTTACTATTTGTTTCATAGCTAATATTTAACTATTTTAAGAAAAAAAAAAATCAAATTTCAAAAAAGCAAAAGAAAAAAAAAAAAAAAAAAGAAAATTGAAGACTGAAAACGACGTTTTCTCTTTTTTTCAACATTGAAAAAGACTTTCGTATTAGAACATTTAAATGATAGTTTCAAGTGATTCATCCGTAAAAATTTAACAATCAATCAAGAAATATGGAAAAAAAAAAATGCAAATTTTTTGTTTTTCATTTTTCATTTGCATCAGAAAAATTCCTGATCAGGTCTTTGATTTCCGTTCATACTAATTGTAATCTAAAACAAAACAAAACAAAAAGTTAAAAAAAGAAAGAAAAACAGAATATAAATTCCGAGCAATTGTTGCAACTTTTTAAATAAGAAAAAACATTTAAAAAATTAAAATTTTGTATTTTTTTTTTTTACTATAGAAAATTTGCTACAAAAATATTTGTATTTTGTTATAAAATAAAAATTATTTATAAATTGCTGAAAGTTTTTTCATTTTTATTAAATATAAATCGATGGAAAAGAGATACTAGATAAATTATTTATAACTTTAAAATTATTTAAAATGAGCTAAATGATTTGTAAGAATATTTTGAGTTTCTGCTAATTAAAATTTTAGACATATATATATATTTTTTATTTTTATTCTTTTTTTAAAATTTTTTTCAATATTTTCGAGTAAATTTTCCCATTCGTTTTTTCCTGAAAATTTTTTTCTAATGAAATTAAATTGAAAATTTTTCAGGCTAATGTCTTGTGATCGATCAGAATCAACGCAAAATGTTCCAAATCATATGGAAACGATTAATGATGATACACCATTGTATTATTGTGATAGAAATAACAAATCTAACAATTGTAACACAAGGTTTGTTTACTTGTTTACTTGTTTACTTGTTTGCTTGTTTGTTGTTTGTTTATTTATTTGTTTGCTTGTTTTGTATATTTGTTAAAAAAAACTTTATAAAATTACAAATTGATTTCATTATTTATTATTGTGATAACTGAAAAAGACTTTATAAAATAACAAAACACTCAAGGTCAACTGTGCATGTTGAGCTTCGGTAAATTAATTTGAAGTAAAAAGAAAGAAATTATAGTGAAAAAAAAAAAAAAAAAAAAAACATCAAAAATTTGACGTTATAAAGTTGTTTATCGTATTGTGCTGATATTATGATAGATTAAACTAAAATTTCTAAATCTATTTTGAATAAATTTTAGAAGTAAAACTTATTTAAAATAAGTAAAAAGATACGTGACACAATTAAGTTAAATTATCCGTCAAGTCACGTCAACATTATAATAAATTGAATTATGCAGTGAAAATTTACGATTATTTTAAATAATTTTTCTTTTCTTTTATGCTACATTTTATTTTACTATTTTAGATTCAGTAAATACAAAAAAAAAAAAAAAAAAAAAGGAAAAGTTAAAACAAATAAAACTTTTCAATTTTTTTTTGTTCAATTTTACTTCAAAATAATTTACCTAAGTAAGATTATAATTTAGTTTTTTTTTTTTTTTTTTTTTTTTTTTTTTTATTTCAAAAATAATTTTAAAAAAGAGAATTTTTATTTTTTATTTTTTGCAGAAAAGCAGAACAATCACTTTATGCAGTATCAGGGGTAACAGTGATATTTATAATAATTGAATTTTTGGGTGGCTATTTTGCTAATAGCCTAGCAATTATGACCGATGCTGGCCATATGGTTTCTGATTTATTAAGTTTTTGTGTTGCAATTATTGCTATTAAATTAGCACAAAAAAAGCCAACAAAACGTTTACCATTTGGATATTATCGTGCTGAAATATTGGGCGCATTAATTAGGTAAATAAAATACATTCATTTATTAAATTAAATTATTCAAAATAATATAATACAAATTAAATAAACAATTTTAATTTTTCCTAATTTATTTTCAATACTTTTCCTTTGTAGTCAATAAAAACAAACAATTTTAATTGTAATAATTAAATTTCAATCCTCTTTTTTTTTTTATTTTCTTCCTTCAACATTACTAAAATAAACAACTCAATTGTAATAATTAAATTCTATTAACAAAATAAACACAACTATTTTAATTATAATAATTTAAATTTCAAATATTTTGTTTTTCTTTTTTTTTTTTTTTGTTTTTGTTTTATCTTTTTTTAGTGTAATAATGATTTGGGCGCTAACAGCCATACTTGTTTATGCAGCTATTAAACGAATAATTGAACAAAATTTTGATGTTGATGCAACAGTTATGCTATATACAGCAGCGATAAGTGTACTCTTCAATATTATTATGGGCGTTATTTTACATTTTGGTAAAACAGCGCACACACATTTTGGACTGTCACATAGTCATGGAAATGAGAAAACATTTCCAATTGATTTAGAGGTCAAAATTCAAATTTTAATTCTAATAAATTTTTCAATTATTTTAGTTTGAATTTAAAATGAAACTGTTAATTATACATGTATAATAATGAAATATTTTAAATGAGTAAAAGGAATTTAATTAGTATTTTAGGATGGTACATGTAAAGTTTATCAAAATAATATAAAAGATATCAGATGTGAGCAAGATAATAATGCAAATATTATTAAAACAATTAATGTTACCGATCATGACAATTCTATGTTTGAATTTGGCGTTAGTTTATAATAATTTTCTTTTTTTTTTTTCATTCTTATCATCAATCATTTTTGCAAAAATATTTGTTTCAAAATTTGCATAAATTATAAATTTAAATTCTTAATTTTATCTAATTTTTATTTTCTTAAAGTTTGATTTTTGCTATGATAAAGTAAAATATTAAATTATTTAATTATGGGTAATAAAAAATAAAGATCAAAATGTTTAGCTAAACTTTTGTGATATTTAAAGCTTAAAGATATGATAATAATTAATGTTTACAAAATTCTTTTTTATTTTTTAACATAATTTCCTAATATTAGCAAATTTTGATTTCTTAATATTAATATTAGTAATTTGTTAATAATTTCTTGATATTAACAAATTTCGAAGTTAAAAAAAAAAAAAAAAAAAAACAATTGTTCATTTCTATTTTAGGAAATTATTGATACAAAATTTGACTAATAGCAACATTTATCAATTGTCAATTTGAAATAAATCTTTTCTAAAAGTTAATTTAAAATGAAATGCTAATTAGAAGGGATTAATAGATTAATGAAATTAAATATTTCAATACATTTAATTTACTAATTAAAATTATTTTAGAGTAATATTAATATTCGAGCTGCATTTATTCATGTTCTTGGTGATTTATTACAATCACTTGGTGTATTATCTGCTGCATTAATAATTAAATTTACTAATTATCCTTTAGCGGATCCTATTTGTACATTTCTTTTTTCACTTCTTGTTATGGTTTGTGTTTTTTAAATTTTAACATTTTTATAGTTGAAAATTTGATAATTTAAATTAATTACAGAACTAAAAAAAAAATTTTGTTTCAGCTAACATCATTCTCGGTAGCTCGAGATTCGATACTTATTTTGATGGAAGCATCTCCGAAACATATTAATGTCGACAAACTGTACAATGAATTATGTGCTATTGAAGGTTTCCATATATTTTCCTCCACTTTCTATAAATTTAAAATTTTAAATTGAAATTAAAAATATGATTATTCTTTTCTCTTTTCATTTGTTTGATTGAAAATCGATAAATTGAGTAAAATAATCTAAAATAAATGAAAAAGAATGATGCTTTCATTTCTTCCATAACATATATTTGCAATCAATTTCCAATTTTTTTTTTTTTTTTTTTTTTTTCAAATCTCATTAGTACTTAAATGTTCTTTATAATTCATTTTTATTATTTATTATTTTTTTTTTTTTTTTTTTTATTATTAGATTATTCAAAAATGAAATGAAGATATGAGTGGAGATGAGAATGTCTCCATTATGCATTGTTTATAAGTTTAATCAATTAAATATTTCATAAATTTCAAAGTGATATTTTAAATTCCACCATTAGGCTGTTAAATTTGAAATGGAATTAATCACTAATTGGTGTAATAATTATTCTTCCTCTTCCACTTCTTATTTATTTATTTATATTTATTTCAATTTCATGATTTATAATTTGTTAGAATAATTAATTAAAAAATATAAATTGTGAAGGAGTACGAGATGTACATTCGCTTCGAGTATGGTCATTAACTATGGATAAAGTGGCAATATCGGTACATTTGGATATCGAAAAAAGTTGTGATTCCAATCATGTAGTGCATGAGGCTAATGAAAAACTAAAATTAAAACATGGAATTCATTTTATCACTATTCAAGTAATACTATCTTATCATTCATTTAAGTATACGATATAAGCGATAAAAAAATGAAGTCATCTATTTTAGATGTTATAGCAGAGTGAGGAAACCATTTTGAAGAGTTTTACTTTGGAAGTATGAAAGAAGCATTTATAATTTTTCGAACCACAAATTAGACTTATATTTTATTTCAATTTTAAAATTTTTGATTTAGTAATAAGATTAGATTCTTTTCAGGCACAATGTGTATGTAATCGAAGCATTTCAAATCAATCATTTTCAACTGCAGCAACAGCAGTTGAGCATATTTTGCGGAAGTAGGAAATTTTACTACAATGCGAATTTCTGGACCATTAAGTAATATTGAATTTTTTTTGGGGCCATTAAATGACAGTGATTAGAGAACGCAACGATCATTCACTTAAATGGGCTGCAATTTAAACGTCTTAACGTTTTGTAAAAATACCGCACTATCGATCGATGATGTGAAGTAGCATAGAATGTTACCTGGAAGAAATATGAGTGATATTATCACATTCTACAGTGCTAGCTTCAAGGTAAACCGGAATTATTCGCATCTAAAACTACTAATAGGATCTATTCGGTAGATATTTTAGAATTTTTACGTTGTAACTGTAAAGTAGTAATGACAATCACAAAGCACCATTCTACGCACAATGGAGACAGTCTTATTATATAAAATAGTCAAGAAATCCATCCTTGAAAAAAAAAGTAACAATTCATTTCTTTACATAAGATGAGTATCAAATAAACTTTAGAGTTAATCTGAAATTATTATTGCGCGATATCTTTCATTTCTCCTGCCCTTGTTTCCTGATGTTGACATCCGTTGTCTTCACTGCCTTTCTGGAACAGTTGTTGTATATTTGATCATTTGGACAAACTACAAATGCTTCTTCTTTATATGAAGTAACAATTTATAAATTATTACGATCATTTGCATATCACAAGTCAAAAAAAGTAATACAAAACAATTACTCTCAGATACAAAAATATATCAGATATATAAAACTACTTTTCCTCACAAAAATGCGAAAATTTTCTGACTGGAAATATAGAAAGCAAATCTGTCTCAAAACAGAAATACGAAGATCGCTTTACCAAAAAAAAAGACAACAAAAAACTATCTGAAGCAAAAGCAGAATCAAATCCGTAAGAAACAAATCTTCTTCACAACGTTCAGAGTTAATTCCACAGAGGTGCATATCACTCCTTCTTTAATGGTGCTCTGCAAAAAAAAAAAATTATTACGGGATAGTATTTTAATAAAAAAATGGTTTACTGTTAAATTTCTCAGTATACCCTTGCATCTTAACATTATATCTTTGAAAAACCGACGAAAATACGACGAATATAAGAGCAAATATAAAGTCAACACTTTGAATTCAACAAATAACATCAAATTCTCCCAATGCTTTTTCTTCCTCAAAAAAAAAAAAAAAAAAAAAAAAAAAAAACAAACCCAGTATCTCTTCCAGAACCACTTAGAATAATATATGGAGTTTGCATCGCTTCTTGCTTCTTTAATTGTTTGTTAAGCGTTCCCAACGGTGTGTCCATAGAATTCATTTTTTTCATGAGCTCTTTCTTTTCCTGTTTTGCCTGTCTCTTTTCTATTTGCTTCTTACCTGGTCCTTTGCCATGGAATCTAAAAAAAAAAAAAAAAAGACCAATGCAGCACTGTTAATGCTTCAAGTTTTAATTATGCAATAACTATCGCAGTTTCCATTACCCACCCATCTACAAGTGAATCAGACTAACTTCCAACTAAGAACACGAAATGCATCTTTTGATTCCATTTCTTTTCCACGTTCATCGACATACGTTATCCGTATATCTGGCTTGTAGTCCGCCTTTTCTGGAAATGGTCGCACAGGACCTGTACCAGTTGTTCCCATTCGTTCCAGTTTCTTTGTATATTTCTCCTCAATATCACTGCAAAATGAACACATTACGCCTTGAATTTTACGTTTTTAAAAAACATAATTACTAAACACATTTACAGAGTCTAAAAAGTAATGATGAAACAGTGATAAAAGAATATAAGATAATAAGGCAACTATAAATACTGGGCTATATATCTCTATACATATAGACTCTTTAACAGAGTTGTACATAATGAAACGAAAATTTGGTGGCAAATTTCAAGACAAGGAAAAAACATACTATCGACTGGTCTCAATTTGCGAAAAACGTTTACTTTCCAAATGTTTCAGCGATGGACCCTTCACCTTTCGTTCTTTACCAGCATCGAGATAACCTTTTTCGGCAGCAGACTTTAACATCGCAGCAACACCCTTTGTTACATCACGTTCTTCACCCAATACATTGTATGCTTCGTCATCGCTATCCTAAACTTTGAAAAACATCAACTAAAAATTACTTCTGTATTATACGCCTCAAATATTTCAGCTAATAGAATTTGAACCACATTTTTTTTTTTTTTAATGAAAAACTTACATCACTTTCTCCATTGAGTTTCTTAGTTTTTTTATCATCATAAGCAGATGTTGAAGCAGTCGCTTCTGTCCATTTACCTTTTATCTCCTGTTCTGATCTCCTATGATTACGATTTTCTCTGTAATGCATAACGAAAAAAGAGATGAAAATACATAAAAAATAATTGCGGTTAGCTTAAGATAATTTCTGAAATCAATACATAATTTATTTTATAAATGGAAAAGCATACTCAGCTGGTGAATAATCAGCAACTGCCTCTTCATCTACTTCTATTTTTACGGCCTCCGGTTCGTTCAGTTCCCTGACATCCACTGCATCTTGCCGGTTACCAGCCAATCCGTACGTAGGAATTTCACCTGAAAAGACAATATCAAATTTTTACTCAATATGCGATTAGCTCTCTAACAAACTCTATGCTAGATCCAAGTTACAATGTCACGTGAGTACCTAAATTACGGCAATATTCCATTGTAGAATCAATAACAACACCGCATTTATCATTTTCTTCTTCTACATCCATTGGTTCCTCTTTCACCGAATGTATCTTCATCAATTCATGCATCTGAAAATTTTATTCATAAAAATTAAGAAAGAATAATACAGAATTCTAAAACACATTTTGAAGAACTCTTCTAGTAGTATGCTTTAACACCTGAAGTAGAAATGCATTAAATTTGTAGCTTATATAACCTTTAATGCTGCATCGCTTTCCGGGTTTTCCTTCTTAATCTCGTGCTGTCTAAGTTTACGAGCACGGTCCAACATCACTGTTAGCTCTTCCTCAGCATCATCCTCAATTACAACATTGGATAAATCCACACCGCCAACTAGATCTAAAAAAAACAAAAATCAAGTTACTACTCTGATATGGACTGCAGATTTTTGAAATCAAAAAAAGATAAAAATAATACCACACCATCATCTTCATCATCTTCTTCTTCCTCAACTTGCTTAGCCAATTTATTCAAATTTTGTACGTCTACGAAAGCACTTGTTTCTGCACAACGCCAGTTACCCTAAATTGAAACGTGAAAACCAATAAAAAAAAAAAAAAAAAAAACTGCCTCAAGAACAAATGCAATAATAATAAACGGCATGCATAACCTTCTTCTCGTCTTCGTCTGCAAGTTCTCCTTCTTCCAAGTTTGGTTTATCTTTCACGACCTTTTCCTCTTCTTTAACTTCAAACCCATCGCTGCACTGTCGATTTATTGCCTTAGCCGCTCTAAAAATGAATAATACAACAATAAATTCAAAGACACTCACAGTAAAAAAGTAGTAAGACCACTACACAAAAGATTTATAAAAAATACAATCTTCAGTACAGACTACTTTGCTAATTCCAACACTTTTGAAATTTCTGCTGCTAGCAGATAAATAAAAAACATTACATACAAACGTGAACCTCTGCAAACGACCATACCAGTGGCATACTGGAAGAAAATTATAGCGACAATTTTTTTCAAACAAACCTTTCGGCATCGTCAGCTAGTGCTGACTCATCCGGAATGAGATCATCAGCTTTCAACATTTTCTCCTTTCTCTTACGTAATTTTTTGTCTTTTTTTGACTTCGGTCGACGAAATGAAAGCATTTCTTCCTGGAAACCGATTAGGAATGGATTAATGGCACATCTATACTATACAAATAATGCGACTAGAATGCTTATTAATTCAAACCTCAGTATAAAATTCACTGGCCACCGTGTACTTTGGAAGCTCTAATGATTCCAGTTTCTTGTTTGCCATAAATAATTTCCGGCGCATTTCCATTTCTTCTCGCTCCTTGTCAATATCAACTTCGCCAGCCTCACCTTGAATATAATTTTAAAGCTAATGATAATTGAAATGAGCATTTTATTGGCAGCGAAATTAGCACGTAAGCTGATATTATGGATTGATACTGAACATTTGGAATTTCTTTTAACGTATGCATGGCTATGTTTCATACACCACACAGAGGAATAAGCTGTGTGAAATGATCCTTGTTGGTTACAATATTTCGAAGGTTTTAACAGATATTCAATGCAGTGAAAAATGGTAAACGATAAGTTCATAAATTCATTTAAATACATACCCAAACGGAAAGCCTTCTTTGCTTCGCCTTCCAATTCATCGTATTTTGACAAAAGTCCCTTTTCTTTGGGCTGAAATTATGCAAAAATGCAATATAAGGCATAAAATCACTAAACTCTTCCGAAAGCATCTTGAACTCTAAAACATACCATCCCGTATTCATCAAATTCCTCCTCGTAAGGCTCGTAGCGATTCTTTTTTCTTTTCAATTCAACATTTTTCTGATACCTGTGGTTTTCAGCCAAATTTGTGTTTACAAGCACTTCCTCACCTTCATCCAGTACACCTTAAACATCCCAACATAATTTGAATTAATACATTGAGAATATCGTTGGAAACAATTAGAAATCAGAAAGTACGTTTCGCAAATGCTAACCTTTATCTTCGAGAACTAAAATAGTTTCGCTCCCCTCCAAGAAGTCTTCTTTAGCGTGACCCACCATTAAACCTGCGAGATCTGATTTCTGCTGCAAAAATATAAATTGTAAAAAATAAAACTGTTTACTGAAAAATTAATTGTCATAAAAGCTATTATAATGGTTAGAGAATATTTTAGAAAGTACACCTTACCTCTCGTTTTTTAGCTTTCTTGATTTGCTTCATTTTGTTCTCCTCGTTTATCAGTGCATTAACACCAAAATCCGCATCCATATCATCCAGAATTTTAGCCTGAGAAAGTAAACATTGCTCTTATAGTTATTCCACGACGACATATTGTTTCTACATAAGAAAAAATCAAGCTGAAGAACATTAAATATATGAAGAAATCGACCGAAGGACAACTATCAGTCTAGAAGTTTAAAAAGTGAATGATCAAATAAAATGAGCAGATAAAATAAAATTAAAAGAATGATCGGACACATATATTTACCCTTTCTTCTGCTCTCTTCCTCTCTTCTTCCAGTTCACGATTTTTCGCAACCCAAGAAGACGCATCTTCGTCAGAATCTGATTCTGCTAATGGCTTTACTTTCAGTACCTTTTCGTACAGCTTTCGTTTATCACGAGCTACCTAAATTCATATAATTAAAATAAGCTTTAGTGAGCCTTTTCAATGTCACATTTTTGCCAGTTATGAGCTTTCAATGTAAGAGAACATAAAATAAAAATTTACTGGAAGTAATTAAATATATAAAGAAACCAAACCGATAATTTTTCTCGCATCTCTTCAACTCTCTTCTTTTCTCCTAGATGTTCGGCTTTTTTATGGACAAATTCCATTCCATCCTCTTTGTAGATTTTCTCTACACCATCACTACCCTCCACTTCACGTTCTTTTGGCCCACTATCTACTTCAAGTGGAGCTAAACCAAGCGAAGCACGCAACCTGTTGGTTTCTTCAATTGATATACTTTCCTCACTGAAAATAGTGATGTGAAAGGAGTTTTGATTATCATAAATTATTCTGAAATAATGGCACAAATCAAAACAGAACATATGAAGGGGTAATGCAAAATGCAATTAAAACGTCACTTCTTATTGGATGAAGGTGTACCAGGTGACTTGGCCTTACGCTTTCCTTTATCCGTACGTCTTGATCTAAAAGAAAGAAAATAATTTATTACAAGATGAGAAAACTACCAAAAATTATAATAACTAAAAACATACTTGTTAAAATTTATTTAAATTCACTTAAAAATCTGAAGCACTTAAAAATCTATATATTTTTAAAAAAAAAAAAAACTAAAATAATGTCTGGAACTTACTTTCTTTCCGGACTTCGGGATAAAGAACGTTGCTTGTTCTCATCTGATGAATCGTTTTCATGTTTATCAGTCTTACGTTTCCGACGATGATGCGAATCACGACCCATTTTTTTCCCACTTTTCACTAAAAAAATAATTTTACCAATTAAAGTAATAAAGCTGAAACATCAAACGAATTAAATTTACATTCCAAACAATACAATCTAATTTCCCAATAATCGGAAGAACTGCAAAATTACTTCCTTATCTCTCGGACTTTAGTTTTGAGACCGATAATTCATCAATGTTTTTGTGCTGCAAGATGAAACGAGATAGCTAGTTGCATTCTTAGACCGAGAAATCTTGGATATCCTTTTAATAAGCGGTGTTTCTTCTGGGATATATTCGAAATCGTAAACATTCTTTAATATGAAATACTTCAAAAGGAATAGACTGTGAATTTTTAAGAAAAAAAAATAGAAAATTTCACGATTTAAGGATTTGTAAGTTTCATTCAAATTCTGTAGCAATTTTTTTCTTCCGAATTAAAAACAAAAATTTTGTTTTTTTAAAGATTAATGGCATCTATTCAAAAGAATATTTGATTTGTTATTTATTAATTTAACCAGAAATTTATTTTTTTGAAAATGAATAGAACATGATATATAAACTTAATGATGGATCGTTTTTGCTATTCTGAAACTTTTCCTTTGTGTCTCACTTCGGAAAGCAAACTTGAGATATTATTCTTTCTGTGCAATTGAAATGGAATTATTCTTGTCAGTCAAATGAAGCATTTCCCATTGAACAATTCGTTGTTATTTTTTTTGTTATTCCGGGATGTTTGTTTTCATAACGCTGCAGCCACAATAGCGTATCGCAATGCCGTGGTTTAGTAAACCGCTTCTGAAATAATTTTTGGCGGCAAAGTTTTTTGATCTGCTGGTGTAGGTCGTCGTCGTCGTCTGTTGTGCATCTTATCTGGTAGTGTGGGTCAAAGGCTGTGTGAGGGAGTGGAGGATTCCGTTAAATGCATTCTTTCTGGGTAAAAAACCCATGAAGATATGTTTGGATTAAACTTCGTAAATCATTCATCATTGAGGTGTTATAAATAATCAAGCTTATTTGATTGTGCCTAATTTTACTTAGTGAAATATTGATGACGATAAAAGGACTATAAATAACTAGGTATTTTGGAATGATCCACTGGTTTATGATTGATCTCAGATGGGAGTAATAAGTATATCAGCATTCTTTATTGACTCTATTCAAATCATTCACTGTCATTACTAGCTTAGGAGTTGATAAGTGACGGGTTATTTTCCTTGTATTATGAAGCGTTTAATAGAAAATGAAGCATAATTCAAGATATTAGAGATTGATTATTTTACTGCTCGCTGATACTGAATCTTCTGCACTAAGAATATCGATTTAAAAATTGTTTGTCACGTTGCACTTCTTCACTTTTTGTTCTGCCTAGTACAGAAGTTTAAAGTCTCATCGAAACTTTTACTGTAAATGGAACTACACAAAGATTTAGAAATTGAGCAGTAAAAAATAATGCATATATTTTTCTTCATTGTTAAACATATTTCCTTGAGAATGCTTTAATTGAAGTAATTTTTGTCTCAGAGACGAAAGGAGCAAATTTACTTTTCACGTTCGAATCACTGATTCAGTTTCCCGCTGAGTGCAATGAGTGCTTCACCTCGTGACTTCTATTACTCGAACAAATATAATGATGATAAATACGAATACAGGTTTGTTATGATTTCACATTTTGATAAGAACAGTTTCAAATTAACGAGATTTTACAAACAGTGAGCTGACAGTGATGTTATTCTAAACAATAATTTGCTCTAAACAATAATTAACTTTTTTTACAAATTTGTTCTTTTTTTTTACAAATAATTTGTTCTTTATTAAAAGGCTGGCTATTGTTAAAGGTTGAAATTGGTAACATAATTAATGGTTCATCGCAGATTCGTCGGAAGTGATTTCAGTCTTTTACAGTGAGAAGCGAAATGACTTATTAAAGTGGTATTTTGCTTTCAGGCATGTGCATGTGCCGAAGGATTTGGTCCGACTTATACCAAAGGATCGATTGATGAGTGAGAAAGAGTGGCGATCACTTGGAATTCAGCAGAGTCCAGGATGGGTTCATTATATGATCCACAGTCCAGAACGACACGTACGTCATTCTTTTCTGTTTGGAATTTATATTCTATTAGTAAAATTTAATTAATAGAATTGGTATCCTAATTTAGTAGAATCATCAAACTTTTATATTTCAATATTTGCGCTCCCAAAATTAACAGGTCTTTCGATAAACCCTTTCATTCTTGTTGATTCACGAAATGTGTATTCAATGTTTTTTTTTGGAAAAAGTTGAAATATACAATTTTATTTTAAATACGAAATATTGCATGCCATCTAAAAAAGCAACAGTTTTCACCTATTTGCTCTCCAATAACTTTTTGTGCAATTTAATTTCCTACATCCTTGTATTATGCCTATATGTAGAGAGAGGGAAAGAAAGAGATAGGAAATAGTTATCTAATTCCGAATACATTTTTATTAAAATGAATACAATATAAGCAGCATGTTTTTATTTGTTTTTGTTAGCGACGAATAAGTTTGTTTATTCCAATAGCATACAATAAAACTTTGGAATTCGATGGATCCTTCGGAAGTATTTTTGTATCATACTGCAAAAACTCAGGAAATTGATAGTCAAGCGAACACATTTTAAATTATAATTGGTATTCAATTTTAAAGCGTTGATTATCGATGATAGTCGTGGAGAAGAACTGAATCCTTTATGATGACCAGCGCTGGCTGAATGTATCGCACTTCTGGTGCAATTTAGTAAACATACCCCATTTTTCAAAGATTTCTTCGGATTCAAAAAGTTGTGGTGGCATGAAATAGTGACCATAGCTATTCAAAAAGATATGGTGCAGTAGGTTTCGAACAGTGATCATAATCTTTTTTGGTATAAATTTTCAAAAAAATCTGCTAAGCTTCTTCCAGCAATTGGTATCAGTTATCGTGCGTAATTCATTTTTTGTCACAAGTCTCAATTTTGCCCAAACTAGCCCATGCAATATAATTCCAGTTTGATTCAAATGCTGGACTGGTATAGAGCAGTTGGCTTCATATTTCTTGCCTTTGTTTTGTAATTTAGAAAAAAAAAAAAAAAAAATGACAATTCTTCAATAGTTTCCCCTTGTTGGTCATTGTCATTTCCGTTCGGCTGCATCACTCAACATCTTCAAGAATCCTATTTTGTTCCCAGAATTGCTTCTTATTTTAAGACTTTTATTCTTTCAAATTCACTGTTGGTAACAAATGATGATGTGAAGAATAAATGTTTAAGTTTTTCTTTGGTATGATAGAATTTAATATTATCAACTTTTTAGGTTCTTCTGTTCCGTCGTCCTTTGAAAGATATTATATGTGACGAAAACAACGGCACCATTAAGGAACAAGTGAACTAAAATGTTCTGATTGTATCATGTATGAGCATTAATCTTTACTGTTGGTTAATTGTTGAACGGGAAGTTATTTATTCGATTTGGCGTTGATACATCTTATTTCTGTTAACATCTCATTACTGAAATGCTTCTTTTACTCTATAGTATGCTCCTTACTACAAGGTTTATTACACCTTCTATAATTCAACTGGTTTATAATCTAATTGAGTTCTTTTTTGTATGTAGTTGCGAAAAAGAGAAATGTATGTATCTTATTCTTGGTTTCTTTCATTTTTCCAATGATCAGTTTGATGCCTTTGTCAATTTCTGGTTTTTGTAGAAAATCGATCTTTAATTTGACTATGTTAGAGAGTGAGCTCTGTTTACAGCACAATTCAGCTATGTTTATTGTTTTACCGAATTAACTTTTTGCTTTATTACCGTATGTCATAGTTGCTTTTTGTTATTTCTTGTTTCCTTACTGTCCAATAGCTTCATAAGTTTCATGTATTGCTCTACTTTGTACATTGTGCGCATCGCTACCTCTCAGCGAGTATACGTTAATTTTTCTGCTCCTTGTGTTCTGCTATAAAGCATTTTCTATAATTCAGTCAAGCATTACATTTTCTATCATTTTTTTTTTTCAACAAACTTTATGATTTATTTCAATTATGATGCACAACTGTTGATCTTGATCTTCTGACGATACCAAACATTGAAGCAATAAGGAATGGGTAAGATCTCAAATTATAAATATTGAAAAGTGAAGTATGAATATTAAGAATGTCGTGTAGATGGAGTTGAACTTTCGGGATTCCCACAAGTTTTATCCTCAAATGTAGTAACATTTGAAGTCTAAGATTGAATGATATGGTTGATCCTGGTCTTGTTTCGCACATAAACTTTTTTAACATAAACTTAATGTGGCGAAGGTTGAAAATTGTGGCATCAATTACCTGTTGCAGTGTAGACATTTTACCTAAAGAACGTTTTAGGAAACGAATCCCGAAGTCGTGGTTGTTGTAAAATTTTCATATTTTCTTCAGAAAGTATTTGAAAGCATTTATTAATTGTTCAAATGGTTGTCATCGCTTATTTCAGAGTAGCATCAGACCTTTTATTAGTTCTAATAAAATAAAGTTTGGTCAAAAGTGTTTCTTAAATAAAGAAAATGAAAGCGATATAAACATCTTAAACATCCGTGGTACTATATCTCAAAATAGAGACTTTAAGGAAAAATATGGTTATATTAAAATATTTCATTTTTAAGAAAAAATGCTGAAACTTGATTGATCACTCGAATTAATTCCGAATATTTTCAGAATACACAGATTAATGAAGTACTTTGCTCCTACAGTTAGTACGAGATTTTACATTGTAAAACAATTCACTTAATTATTTAATAGTTTTCTGATTTTAAACTTGATTTTTCTTGTCTTCATTTCCCAATTCATGTGTTATACTCTTTCTTACGGAAAAGTAATTTCTTTTTCTTTTTCTTTTTTTTTTTTTTTTTTCTCGATTTCTTAATTTATTTAAAAATAGAATTTTTCACTCTGTCTTATATATATTATATATAATTAGCAATTTCAAAAAATTGTAATGTTTTCTAATCAGAAAAGAGATAAGTCAGTTATTAGATGAATTCATTTGAATAGTTTAAATTTATATGGCAATTCAAAAAATACAAAATGTTAAAGAAAAAAAGAATTTTGTTTTTTTTTTTTTAAATTAATGTGTGAACATTTTGCTTTATTTACTACCTAACAAAACCAATTAATAATGGACAAATGTCAAGCATATTTAAAAATTTTCAATTCAAACAATTTCAAACTTTTCCCGAAAATTTGATATAGGAAAACAATTGATGATTATTAGCTGAATTGCTGTTTAGGATTTATCTCAATTTTTGATTATTTTTTTTTTCTTTAATCTTGATCTAATTGTCATTGCCAAAAGTAGATGCATTACTCTACTTCTTCCTTTCATACTTTTCATCCCAAACAAACTGCTTTCATAATTAAAAGCATCAAAGTAGTAAAATTTCTCGATTATCAAAAACTTTTTTTAGCTCCTTTTAACCAGTTCAATTCCAAGATATTGACTAATTTCGATTCAATTTAAATGTTAGTTTCAGGAAATTTTCTCGCTACAACTTTCTTGATTAAGCTGTTAAAAGAGATGGATTGCTTATTAATAAAATGAATAACCCTCGTAAATCTTTCTCATAAAAGATAAAAATGATGGTAAAACTTATTATTCTAATTTTTTTTTTTTTTTTTTGATTTTCAATATCACTAAAGAAGTATTTCTTGTGGAATGAATGGCTTATTTGAAATTTCAATAAAATTTTCATACAAATTTCTGAAAATGCTTAATACTTTTACTGAAATAATTATTTATCAAAGTCAAAGGTATAACTATAAAATTTAATAAAAATATGTGACAAACAGCACTCTAAATAACTTTTAAGAATATCGCAAAGATTAGAAATAGCCAGAAACGATAATTATTCTGCTGGAACGATTTTATCGGATATTTGTCGCTGTCGCTTGAGGTTTCTTTTCTAAGTTTCTCTTCCGGACTAACTGTATACTACCTGTCGCCTCCCATTTTTCATTTCACAAAGGTCACTGACTTCCCAATATTTCTTACTCTTCTTTTAATTATGATGACTGTAATTGCTGTTGGTTAATTGTATCTGATTTGTAACCTTTAACCCTAACGTTTAATTCTCTCTCTCTCTCTCTCTCCGGTATATGATCAGCTTTTCATTTTTTCTTATCGCATAGACTTTGAAATGTAAAATTTTCAAAAGTCAAAGCTGAGAATTTGTAAATTATTTATTAGCAGCAAATAATGCAAAAAATTACGAAAGCTATCGTTGTTTAATGATTTTTCCATCATTTCATTTTTGGAATTTCATTATTTATTATTTATCGTCACTGTTTTATTATTATTACTATTAATTATCATTATTAATATTAATACTATTATTATTATTGATCATTAATTATCAACCATCATTCTTATCGTTGTTATCTTAAAATTTTCGAGATTTTTCCATTATTCTTGTCTTAAAATTTTCCAGAGTAAGAACTGACTTAAAAACTAATTATTATAGCTAATTTATTTTAAAAAAATCCATCAATTTCTTTTTCAATTTTAATTTTCCAAATTATTAGATCGTTTACTAAATTGTGGCAATTAATTTGAACATAAATATCTATTGGGTTAATTATATCTTGGCTTATAACCATGATAAATGCATGTTTTCATCTCTTTTATGAGGTAAATCTTTTATGAACTTATTTGACATTTTTTTTTTTTTTTTTGTAAATCTTTTTTTGTAAAACAAAATTTGTAAATCTTTTATGAATCACAAAACTTAATTTGACAATTTAAAAAACTAAACATTGGCTAATGAACTTCTTAAAATGAATTGGTAATATCATATTTTCATGAAGTTGAAATTATCAAATTTAAAGAATGAAAATTTGAAGATTCTTACTACTTCTGATAAAAAAAAAATAAAAATAAAAAAAAAAAAAGGATTAAAAACAGGTTAAAAGCATTTCGAAAGAAATATTATTGATTACCAAATGTTAGTTAGCAGTAAAAATTAGTTTATAATTCATTGTCATACAAAAGAGTGCCGATTTCCTGATCAGTCTGAAACTGAAATAAGAAATAAGCTTATCAAGTTGATTTGAGTTTCATTCCCCTGAGACATTTGCTAATAAGTAAGCATTGTTGAGAGAGCAGATAATCCGATATAGCATCTCGAATGAAAATGAAACGTTCATGTTTCGTTTAACTGCTAGCGATTATCAACCGTATGTCCATCCATCCATCCATCCATCCATCCGTCCATCCGTCCAGTTTCCGTCTTGATTACCCATTAATAGAATAGTTATTTCTAATTTAATTTATACAACTCTATTTAATCATTCAATTCATCTAATCAAAAATAATTTAAATTTTCAATTTATAAACAGAGAGTAAAATTTGCTAACAATTTTTCACCCTCTCTCTCTCTCATTAAAATAGCTCATTTTTTTTTTTGCTGTGATTTTAATGAGAATTGTGTCATTCATTTCTAAATTAGACATAAGAAATATTCATTGACAATAATTTTACTGCATAATATATAAATGATTAAAGATTAAAAAATAAAGATTTAATTTTCATTTTTTAAGAATTTATTTTTATTATTGTAAGCTGTATTTATGATAAAAAAAAAAAAAAACGAAATATTAAAAGATTATTTCTACATTTCAGATTAATAAATTTATTACGATTATGCCTTTCAATCTTACATTTTATTTTTCAGTTATTATATCAATTTTGTGTTAATAATATTTTATGCTGAATGCATGCGCAAATTGTATACATATATAAGTGCATTTGTCCAATTAATTAATATATCCAACTTTTTAACCTTTTAGTCAATTTTTCTATATTTAAATTTTATAAGCTTTTTCCACCTTTTTTTTTGAATTTTTTGAGTAATATAATTTTTTTATTAGAAGAAATTCTATAAGATATTGTCATCTAATAGAAATTCTGTACTTATCTATAATTTATAAAAGTTAAGTTTATATTCAAGTACTGTATTGGAAAAGATCTTCGAGATTTATAATTTGATAAATATACACTCTTGATTTTTGGCGTCCTTGACAACTCTATTAATCTTCCATCATTTTTCTTCCCTCAGAATTATTGACCTTTCACGCAATCAGATTTGATCTATCCACGGAATGAGGTTAACCTATGTCACGTCAGTCATCTTCCAAGTACTGCTTTTGTGATTTTAGTTTTTTGTTTTTTGCAATGAATTGGTTCATATGAAAGAATTTTTTTAAAAAAAAAAAAAGATTTTAAAAAGATTGATTTTAAGATTATTTCATTTCATGAATTTTTAATTTGTGATAAATCAATGAAATTTTGCAAATTAATTTACCTTTCAAGTAATTTTTTTTTTTTAAAAAAAGTTGATTAATAAAAGAAATGAAAAATACAAG